TAAACTAATTAAACGTCTAATTAAACGTCTACAAATCTGAGTAAAAAACAACTTCTATCTATATATGTACGATTTAGTTTTGAAAAAATAACATTATGTTATATACGTTTAAATGTGCAAATCCTTTTTTTGTAGCCCAATATAGGCCATATATATGTATATACATATATGTATATTAAAATCGCTTTTTATAAGCTTTTTATAAGCTTTACTTAAATTTGCATTGCAGGGACCGTTTTAGAATAAGACGCAAGAAGCAAGCGAACCAAGAATGGAATTCTGCAAAACGTTTTAATTCTGATTTGCCATTGAAATCAATTTTAAACGAGATCGGTACGCGATAATAATTTACACGGCCAACGCTGTCAGTCATCGCGTTGTCGCTCGCGGGAAAGTGCACCGTCCTCGACGAATCGATACCGATCCCTCGCTCTCTTCTCGCGATCGCATCCCGCCGCGAGGCAAGAGGAGAGAGACGGATTGCGCGATCCGAAGTGTGTTCGAAGAACTAAGCGCAGGGGCGCGGGATAAAAATGTAAACTGGAGCATTTGCCGGTCCGTCCCCACCTGCCGGGGAGAAACTCCTCACCCTCGCCCCCGGCTCCGCCGCTCGATCTCTCGCCGACCCCCCTACGGCGCCGTTTTGAGAGGTGAAAGAGATGGTCCCGATGGAGTTCCTCGGTTCGTAGGTTGCTACGCGGTTAGGTAGGTAGAGGTGCATGCCGATGCTTGGCTACGTCGCGCTACGCTGCACCGCCGCGCCGTCGACTACTGTCATGTCGGCTACTGTCATGTAGAAGCGAGTGGTCCATTTTCACACGTTCCACGCACGATCGTCGCTGCTCCGATTTCTATGCGATTTATAGACGATTTTACTCTTCGGTCCGATATGTAAAATGGCGCTCTCCAGACATCATATACAAGCTTGTACATATACACGCGCTTCTTTCTCATGCAAATTGCTTTTCTTAATACTTCATTTACGTCCCAGGTTGCACCTATTGGTCCACATACGTTTTATATCACGTTTTCTAAACGTACCTAATGTTCTACAAACGTTTAAGAAACGTATATAAAACTAACATGTGCTACTGGGGATAATTCTACACGGAAAGAACAATTTTTCTGAAGTATCTAGGAATTTAGTTAAATAAAGATCTGAAAAGAATTATGTTGAATCATTGAAATAATTATACTGAACGTTTCAAACTGGTCGTTAGAACGTGAAAACCTTTGCATCATTATCATGCGTCCTACATAATTATTTTGATAGTTCAACGTAATAATCTTCAGATACGTAACTGGCTTAATTTTTAAATACTTCAGCAAAACCGTTATTTCCATATAAACTTAATCTCTTGTCCATTTCCATATAAACTTAATCTCTTGTCCATTTATATGTTATACGAAGTGTAAACTTGTTACATAAATTAAATTAATCTGTAATTACACAAGTAACTTTGGACAGACACTTGTGATACGCGTATTTATAATTGTAAATAAATCTGTCATCGAAAGATATACGATTAAAATCATATGATTCATATATAAAATATCAATATTTATTCTGCGTTATATCGGTCACTATTTACTTATCAAAATGTCCCCGATATACATTTTTACTTACTCGCGTTCTATGAATTTCAAAATACATTTTCAGATCATCTCATCATCGCTTGTGATACACAGAAAGAATGATTTTTCTGAAGTATCTAAAATTTTGCCTAAGATCTAAAAATAACTTTGTTGGACTAAAATAATTATTAAGTAAAAGATAAAATAAAAGCCCGCAAGAGCAATTAACTGTAAGCAATTAACGGCGTGTGAATTATTGTGCATATTCGCATATAATTACAAAGTATTATACATACAATAAGTTTCGACCTCGATTTGGCTTCTCTTCAGTACTTATCAAGGTATCAGAAAAACAAAATAATTATGTAGGACCTTCAAACTACTTACTAAAATATCAAAACTTTTGCAGTATTATTTGAATTACCAAAACACTGAAAATAATCTAATTGCATTAATTGGAATTCTGATTGAAAACGGACGAATCAGAATTTTCTAATTTGAATCTGTTATGATTCTAATTAAGATTACCAGAATTTTAATTGATATGATCAAAATTTTCTGGTTCGTCCATTTTCAACCGGAAATTTTTCTCAGCGTGCATAATTATTTTGATGATTTAACAAAATTATCTTCATATTTGCGTCTATTTAAATTTGTAAATATTCCAACAAAATCATTCTTTCCGTATGATCTTGAAATTTTTGAAAGAACGCGGGATTCACGAGACATCCGCGAGATATCACGAGATTCTCTAAGGAGAACTTATTCCACCTTGAAAAACGGCACCACCATTATCGAGACATTGGCAACGATTGTATTTTCGCACGAGCGTCGCGCAATCATTACCGATATTCGACCGTCAACCGTAAACATCCCACGACGATCGCTTTTCGTTCTTCAAATCGATTCGGTCGTGCCACACTGATAAGGGCGAGCACGTCGCAAACGCTGATAAGTCGCGGCTGATTACGCGCGGCTCGATACGAAAGACTCGAAGACAACAGGAAAGAAAAAGCAGACTCTCGTGTAAAAATGCAGACAGCGGTCGTGCCCCCGATCGAAAGGTCAGCGCGTGAATAAAAGGTGTACCGAGCGCGTTTCGATAACAACGCATGCCCGTTCTTTAAAGTAGTTTTACAGTTAATCGAGTTCCCACATACACACAGAAAGATATACAAATAGAAGAAAGGCCCCTATTATAAGATACCGAGTTCATTTTGGATAAATGCTAGAAGTCTATAGGCAGATTTTAAAAAAATAATTGGTCATTTTGAAGGGAATTTAATAAGCTTTAAGACAATTAAAGAAATGTGAAAAGTGAGCAAATCGCAAAATTCAAAAATTGTGCTCTAATATGAGATGCCCCGAGAAATCGATAGTAAAACGCAAAGTATATCAGTATTGCAATTAAAAAACTTTATTTAATATTTCTAAAATATAAATAAACACAGTCAGCGTGCGCGAAAAATTAGCATGTGATAGATTATGTATACCCAGAACTCTTCAGGTAGTTGGAATCAAGCATTGCGGAAATAGGCACTCGACGTTCATTCCGGTTGTCTTTTTTATTATTGTACAATAACATTTATACTTTAGCAACGATTTTCACTATGACATAAGAATATGGGTTATTTCATATTAGAAATACCCTGGGTATCTCATATAACGATTTCCACGCCTTATGATTTTACGATCATTAAATCTAATTTCTGTAATTAAACAATTCAACATATCCCGTATTTTTCTATTAGTACGACCTTACTCTATCACTACATGAAACATTTATTGCCAAATATTTATTTATTAAACAATAAACAAGGTTTAAAGGCTCATCTCAATAAAACTTGAAAACATCCAAATTGTAAAATCTTGTTTTACAATGACTACAGACATGATCTAATAATGAATTTTTTACTAAATAGTTTTCAATCCAAAAGCAAATAAATTCATGGTAGAATTAATAGTTAGCGTTTATTAGTTTAGGAGAAACGTCGCTATCTCATATTAAGCGCCTATCTCTTAATACGGGGCTTTCCTCTAATAATTACTCTATGAAAGTAATAATTATACTTATTTTAAATATTCCAAAAGTTCACATACCCGCAAATTTATCATAAGTTCATCACAAGCATTAAATTTATTCAAAATACCTTCTGAATTCTAATAAATTTAATACTTTAATAAAAAGTTTATTAAATTAAAACAAATTTGATTTGCTTATTATGAAAAGTTCGTTTCTTCAATCAATTTTATATTATTCTTCAAAAGAAAATAAATTCTTGTTTTAAGTATATATAATAATGTTTTTCTAAAATTTTGTAATAAGCATATTTTAAGATTATTATCGAAAAAATATTCGTTGTTAAAGATAAGTATTACTCAAAAGGAAGGAAATAAATTGAGTAATTATTTTTCTTAGCAATAAAATGATATTTTTCTGCGTGTAGAAATATCTTTTTTTTTTTTTATGTAATAGTTGAAGTGTGCAAATCTGACGTGTGCCAAATTCTAAGGTAGATTCCATGAAATAAGAAAGAAAAAAAAATGTGGAAAATGTAACGTATAATCTAGTGACAAATAAGAGTCGGAGACGCTTCTTTGAACTAACTGCATACAAACATTACCATAAATTTCTCTAAAAAACGAGATTGTAATTGTTAAAAAAATTACGATTATAATGGTCACAAAAAAGTAAAGGACATCAGCCATTCTAGAAAGATATTTAACGTTAAAATAGCAAATATCGAATTTTCACAAGAACAAATTGTAAAGAAATCAATTTCTTTTGATTTCATTATTTTTGCACACTAAATATCGTTTATTTCATATTATTTCATTAAAATGTACACGTAATTTTAATATTTTGTCCAAATTACGCAGATATTTGTGATTTTGAGTGGGTCCTGGTGAAGCATATCAAATTTTCAGCACCTTACTGAAGAACCATTTTAAATCCTTTTTTCATCCCACCCTCACAGAATTTGCGCCTTGCAGACTCACGTCCGCATTCGTATCACTAGTCTCTAAAACTTAGAGTGAATTTCACTTTAAAAAATGAAATATCACTCTTAGAAAAATCACTCGATTTCAATGTAAGATTGACTTTAATCTCAGTTCAATTTACGTTTTATCTTTTTCTAATTGTTGCACTGAGAAAAAAGTTGTTGACTTGATTAAATGCGTTTAGTTTGTAGTGATTATTTAAGTCCAAGTGTTTATATGTTTAGTTATGTTCAATAAAATCTTGTAATTTAAAACATATTATTTCTTTGGAGTAACAAATGTTTATTTAAATTGATAAATATTTGCTGATAGCCCGTGACCGTTGCATTTAGTTGAATCAAGAGAAAACTAATCAGTTAGTGCTAGTGATTTTTTTTAAATATAATTAGTTCTTGCCTTTTAGTTCTTCGCTGAATCTAACGTAGGAACCAATCATATTAAAGAATCACTATAAACGCTAATTGATTAGTTTTCTCTGAACGCAGCCAATTTTTTTTTAAACAGCAACTTTTTTCTCTGTTAGAATTAAAGAATTAAAAAAAAAGAAAGAGTAAAGTTAAACCAAGATTAAAATTAATCTACATTAGTGAAAACGGTCACAAGCCTCCGACTATACACTCTGAGAAACCCATTTGAGTCAATTAATTTCTTGTTTGGACATGGGCAAACAAATTCTTGGTTGACGCAACAAAATAATTTAATTGAAGCAAAGCATTTATTGTAACATTTTATTTGTTTCTGATAAACAACTTTATTAAATGTCAACGTTTATCAAAAACAAGTAAAACGTTATAATAACCAAATACTTTGCTTCAACTAATTTACTTTGTTATATCAACCAAGAATTTGTTTGCTAATTTTCGAACAAGGAATTAATTGATTCAACTAAATAGGTTTCTCAGAATGTAAGGGATTTAGAGCTAGTCAACCCTCTATTGAAAAAGTTCAAAAAGAAGAAGAAAACCAGAGGTTTCAAATCCGGAGTTCACGCCACGGCGAGATGGAGAATCGAAAAGACTGTTACCATGTCCGGACGTGGGAACGTCACCCCGGAGCCGCTCCAGTACGATTCGCTTCTAAATATTGCTAGCCTATAAAATGCAAATGTATGCAAACACAGCGCACAGACGTTGCTTTCGATACTCTGGTGCGCGTCCGACGGACGACCATCGACCATGTCGCGGTACAACACGGCACGATGTGGCGCGGCACGGTGCGAGGTCAAACTGGTAACGCTCGTTCTCCCGCTTCCGTCAAGAAGTCAAAAGCTCCGAGGTGGCCGCACGCGTCGAGAGAGTCACTTTCGATTCCGCCGGAGAGTCCAAGCGAGCCGAACTCCGAGAGCGCGCGCTTGCGCGCAAAGTTCGAGGACGGAATGCACAGTACGCTACCTGTTGTGTGTCAGGTCGCTCGGTCTTCTGCCTGCTCGCTCGCTCGCTCGTTCGTTCTTCGTTCGTTCGCTCGATCGGTTGGTTCCTCGACCGTGTGTGATCACCGCATATATCGGCGATAATGCTGAACGCGAAGCTACGTGGAGAATAACGTAGTTGACCGGACAGCGAACGCACGCACGCACGCACGCACACACGCACTCGCTCACTCGCTCGTCGCAACGTGCGCCGATCGCGACGCGTCCACGCTCGCGTTCTCGCTCGTGGTCGGTTCACGCGGAGAACTCAGAAGAACCGCGCGCCGCCGCCGCCGCTATGCTTCTCCCGCAGCAACCTTGCGCGCAGGTGAACGCAGGCCGGCCGCTCCGTCGGTCGTTCCGTCGAACGCTCGGGCGAGAGAGAGAGAGAGGAGAGAGAGAGAGAGAACGAACGAATGAGCGAGCGAGCGAGAGCGCGCAGGTTGGCAGGTCACTCTCTTGTGTACCGGGCTGGGACACGCCGCGCCGCGCCGCACCAGCCAGGTGCATTCTCGCGTCCCGCTTGCCTGCTTTCCTCTCTACGGCCGAGCAAACGAGCGCGCGGCCGAGGCTGCCGGGTAATGTGCTGTGTGTTACGTCACGTGCGGCCAACACGCCCGCGATATGCAACCGCGCGACCCTGCCGTTCTCGAAAAAGAGAGGAGGGGAGAGAAAAAGAAAAGAAAACAGATTCCTCTCATAACGGGAGATGTGATTTTGCGTTGCTGACTAATTACACCCGCCGGTGGTTGTAAATAGACTCTGGGAAAAAGAGCGGTAACCAGCAAAGGGGATGATATGCCTGCCGTTCTCGTTTCGAATAGGTCGTGTATCTCTCCCCAAAGTGCGAATATATGTCGTCCAGTCGCTGACGTCAAACGTGACCTCAGTGCGGTAATTGAGAAAGGTTAAAAGGGCAAATGGCCAATGGGCAATCTAAAAAGTTACATACAAAACCTGAGGTTATAATAAAAAATAATGAAACCTGTAGGCGGACTGCGTGGGGAGGAGGGAGAGGAAAAGAGAACGGAAAACATCCAGAATGATAGGAGTGATTGAGGGGAAACTTTAACAGAAAATGTAAAGACCTGCGTACAATGAAAGAAATATTCCTAGAGATAGGAATAAATGTTAAATAGTAAAAATAAAACATTAAGAATAGATGTTAAATCTAATTTTTAGAAAAAATATACAGACTAAAAGAGATTGTATCCAGATTGTACATTATATTTAATTTTCTTCCTAATTTTTAATTAGAATTATATATTGGTGAAGATATATATATCTTACCTGTATCCATTGTGTGTTACGTTTAATCATTATACTTTTAATTTTTTTATTTCTCTAATATAATTGAATATTTAACCCATATATTATGTACAAAAAAAAATTTCCGATCTTTTACACGATAAATCGTTCGTAAGTAACACGCGGATATGTTGATCTCGAGTTAATTTTCATTTTTACACACAGAAAAATATCACTCTACTGCTAAGATAAGATTACTCAATTTATTTTTCTTTCTTTTAAGTAATGGTTATTTTTAACAAAAAATATTTTCTTGATAATAACTTTAAAATATACTTATTATTTACAAAAACACAAGAGTGTCATATACTCAAAACAAGAATTTATTTTCTTTTGAGGAATATTATAAAATTGATCGAAGAAACAAACTTTTCATAATAAGCAAATTGAATTTGTTTTAATTTAATAAACTTGATTGAAGTATTAAACTTACTAGGATTCAGAATATATTTTGAATAAATTTAATGCTTGTGATGAACTTATGATAGATTTGCGGATATATAAACTTTTGAAATGATTGAAATAAATAATTATTACTTGCATAGAGTAATTATTACTTGCTTATTTTTCTGTGTGTAGGCCCAGTTTTTCATTTTCTAGTTAATTTATAATTAGATTTATTCTCTTGATGTAAAAATTGTATTTTTCCAGCTATGGTTAGTCACTGAACTAATTGTTTTGTAGTGACTTCTAAAAATACCACTAAGAAACCATCAGTTTAGTGATTAGTCATAGTTAGAAAAACTATGACTAATCACAAAAAATAATTTTTACATTATTATTAGATTAAGTGAGGTTAAAATCTAATGCACAGTTGAAAAATACTTTAGGAATAAGAAATAAATATAATAGATTTCAACCTATCGAAAATTGTGCATTCTGGTACATACGATTTCAGATAGGCTGAAATCTGTTATTCCCTGTTGTTATTGTTTGTGATTTTCAATTGTGTTTCAAGCTTAATAGGTTTTCTACAATAGCCATTACCTAAGCTTTAAATCTCAAACCATAAGAAATTGACCAATCATAGTCGATTATTCTTCTCACATTCATTTGTAATTGGTGAATTTTTTACGGCTTAAGACTTAAAGCTCTTACACCTAGAGAAAGATTTCTTTAATTCAAAAAAGTGTTTCTTTACTATACGGTTAAAAAAAAAGTTTCTTTGTTTTAAACGTCATTTTTTTATTTGAACATAATCTTTTGTAATCAAATAAATTCTTTTATTTAACTTAAAAAAATAATGTTTAAATCAAAGAAATTTTTTTTTAAACCGTATAGCAAAGAAACATTTCTTTAAATCGAAAAAAACCTTTCTCTGGATGTAGATAATGACTTATTGTAAAAAGCCTGTAAAGCCTCCACAATATATAGGCCAACGACACACATTCGCTAAATGTTAACTACATTCAATATATGGATAATTATATATGTCATGTATGTCTATGATATTTGCTAATGTTGGCATATGTTGATCATACCATTTGAAGGTACCTTTAGTCTAAATCAAAAGTTAATCGGAAAACAAAAAACCGAACCTTACAAGTATACAAACATTATTAAATGATTTTTTACGTATACTTTAACATTTAGAAAATTTTGTAATAGAGTTGTAATAGAAAAAAAAGAGGATAGAGAGCATTATTTGCAGGCTTATTCTGTAACTTTTAATGCAAGTTTCATTATCGTTACAACGCCGTTGCGCAGCAGCGTTATGCGCTACAACGATAACAAAATTTGCGTTAAAAGTTGCGAAATAATATTTCAAAGAAAAAATGTCTAAAATATCAACGATCTAATCGTGTATAGGTACATACATATAGTATACACTGAGAAAAATGATCTGGTTGGATTAAATATGTAGTAATTCTAATGGAAAATGGATTTTCTGATTAAATCTATTAGAATTCGAATTGAAAGAATTTTCTGATTAAATCTACTAGAATCTCTAATTGAAATAACTGAAATTCTGATTGATATCTTGTAAAAATAAGAATTCTAGTAGATTTTCCTAGAATTATTGTATCAACCAGAATTATCTCAACTAAAATTCTAATAAATTTAACCAGAAAACTTTGATTCCATTTTTAATCAGAAATTTCAGTGTAGTATTAATATTTACTTCTATTTCTAATATTTCTTCCATTGTGCACAATGCCTAACGCTCACTTTAGATGATGTACTCGTATAATTCGCGATAGAATTCGAAACAGAATTCTATTTATAATTTTATGCATCGTATAATGTGGAAAACAATATGGATAAATAATCAAAATTATAAATTTATTAACTACAAAACCCACTTTAGATGATCTAAAATTCGCGATCAAATTCAAAACAGAATTCTATTTATAATTTTGCGTGTCGTGTGTAACATATAAGTGACATACAAAATTACGAGTAAAATTTTATCTATAATTTGATCGCAAATTGTAGATCATCCAAAGTAAACTTAATCCGCTATTTTATAAATATATAAAGGACGCATCAAGTACATCCAGCGTATAAATACCTATGGTTAGTCAATTGTACCTATGGTGTAATAAAAATTGAAAATCTATAAGCGCTATGAATAGAGTCGTATCCAATCGGGTAAGCAAACAAATCTTATCTATATACAAATAAATAACATAAATTACAACTTAACCTACATATCCGATATCGTATTTCTTGCAATACAAGAAATTTTCTCATCATAATGTTATCGTATTTATAATTTGATACATAAAATTATAAATAGAATTCTGTTTCGAATTCTGCCGTGAATTATATATAGATCGACTTAAAACAACAGAAGATATAACAAATATTCCTTTCCTTCCTTCACGAAAGAGCAAAAGGTTACAGTTAGAGAGGAAAAATAAGAGAATAAAATCCAAGATTGGAGAGAAGAAACAAAAAAAATTGTGTTTCTATGCAGGAATAAATGCAGCGACCGCGGCCGCGAGGTCGGAATGGCGCCGCGTGTTTTCTCGGCCGCAGCTTTTCTACACGCGAGAACGAGAGAACGGCGGTGATACCACACTCCGCTTCTCTCTCTCTCTCTCTCTCTCTCTCTCTCTCATCCGCGTCCCCCTCGCTCGCTCCGGTGAACGTCGCGGGTTATGTCATGTAACGCGTGTCCGCGCGATGACTTATCGGCCGACGTCGTCGAGGTCGCCGCGACGGCTCTGCGAATAGGTCGGCACGCGGGACTTGGTATCGCGCGTCGTGACTTTTTGCGACGTTTGTTTTTTTCTTCTTTTTTTTTCTTTTTTTTTTTTTTGCGTCGCTGTAACTCGACGATCATACTAAACGACACCTTCCCGATGGAACGTAAAATCTTGGTACAGTATTCCGTCGCAGGCCCCGGGCGAAATGCGTCAGCGTCGCAGTCATTTTATGTCGATCCTTTCACTTAGAATTTTGTAAACGGAGATGCATCCTTATGTCAGTTGCAGTTAGAGAAGCCGTCGAATGCGAATATACAAATTTGTTGAATGCTTCGAATGTAATTAATCGAGCACACTCTAACGAATATTTTTTAAGGAACTCCGTTCAGCAGAATAACAACTTGAAACTATCGTATATTTTTTTTAATATGATCGATCTTGGTTCTTAATTCCTCTCATTGGATTTAAATGTGTAAACTACACTCTAAAACTTGGAATCTCACTTTGAAGAGTCAATCTCACTCTTAAGATTGAAAATGGAGTTACTCTTTTTCAAGACTCAGTTTTCATTCTTTAGAGAGAAATTCCACTTCACAAAATTGGAAGTATATATAAAAAAATATTGCACCATTTGTGTGCAAAATTGCTTTTTCTATTGAACAAAGCCAATTAACATCGTTTTCTGTATTTTACATAATTCGACTATCGGTTAGCTCCGACCGTATTGATCCTAGTTAAAACTAATCTACAATGTGCTCTTTGTTAAATGTCTCTTCCTTTTTTCTTCTGATGTCTGAGACACAATTGAATAGCACAGACAATAGAAACAGGGAATTTCAACTCATAAAACCTGAGACACAATTACAAAACAGGCAATAGGAACAAAAAATAATAAATTTCAATCTATCAAAAATCGTGCATCTACATCAGAATACACAATTCTTGAGAGATGGAAATCTACATATTAGTCTTTGTTACCATTGCCTGTATTTTCAATTGAGTCTCAAGCTTGGGATACAATTAAAAAACACAGGAAACA